AGCAAGTGGAGGCTGAAGTCCTCCAGAGAGACACTCTGGCACCTGGCCAGAGTGCCTCTATGCCTGCCTCATGCCCTGCTGCTCCAGCACACTGAGGCAGCATGCTGGAGCAGCCAGGAGCAGGGCAAAGCTGCAGCAGTGACCAAGACCTAGGTGCTGGTCCAGGTAACAGGGACCTGGGGGTGGGGGAGAAACTGTGTGGTTTCTGGGGGGGCCGGTTGTGGGTGTGGGGAATGGCGGGGATGTGGGGTGTGAGGGTGGTTGTGGGGGGTTTGTGGGTGTAGAGTTTGTTGGGGAGATTTGAGGGGGGCTACTACACCTCCACCCCCCTCACCCTGTGCAGTGCATAGTCCCTGGCACTGGCAGCAGCAGCCAGCTGGGCCATTGGGGCTACGACCCACTGCAGGCACAGCCCCGCAGCAGTGCGCTGCCACCTGATCCGGGGTCTGCACATGGTAAATGCAGCCAGCCCAGCCTGCCCCACTAGCATGTGCCTATGGACAGGACTGGGAATCCTCCTGCCACCACCCACAGTTTCTGTCCAAAGGCATGCATTAGTGAGGCAGGCCAGGTTGGGCTGACTGTGTTTGCCATGTGCAAATCCTGGGTCAGGTGGTTGTGCACCACCACAGGGCTGTGCCTGCAGTGAGCCATGGTCCCGATAGCCCAGCTGGTTGCTGCTGCCAGCACTGGGGGCTGTTTGCCACAGGGAGTGGGTGGAGGGGTGGGTGTGTGGCAGCCCCTGTACAAACCCCAACCCCCCTATACCCACACCCCCAACACATCCACCCACAGCCCCCCCCACACATGCATCCAACTGAGAACCCCACACCCCTTCTCACCCCCCTCCTGCAAACCCCACACCATCCCCACCTCTTGCACCCTGTGGGCCCAGCTGCCAGACAGGATGGGACCTGCTGGCAGGAGCTGTGGCTGCAGGGGCAGCTGTCCCCACATCCTGGTTAGCAAAGGGATCAGGAGAGCTCTGATTTTTCTATGATAAGCTAAAAGCAAACACCAAAGCATGTAGATATTTAGAATTTATTTTATTATGATGATAAAGGCACTGATCAGCTTCCAAATTGCTTTAACCTTGTAAATATATCAATAAAACATAACCTAACTGATCTCTCTCTGTCTCTCTCTCTCTCATATATAGATATAGATATTGTTTTTTCAGCTGGGTATTTTAAAGAGTGAATTTGGGATTTATTTTTATTTGAGAATTTGCAATTTTTAAACAGGGAACATGCTTGCGTATGTGGATGTGCCCAAGTCACTGGGGACCTGAAAATGTAGCATGTGCTTGAGCCCTGTTATGGTATGTGATCTTAGATTGATGAGAGTCAAACAGGAAAAAAACAACCCTCTTGTTACAAGTCTGACATTTTGCCAAAGAAAATATTAATCCTCAAAATACTAGGGATCTCCTCCTACAGCTCACATTTGACTCAGACTAAAGATAAGGGCTTTTTTACAAGATCCAGGTTTCAGTTCATCAGGTTATAGAGTACAATGTCCAGTTTGATTTGGACTCATCTCTTATGAGAGAGAAATAAAGTGCTGAGCTATGGAGTTATACAGTTTCAGAGCACATGCTCTGGTAAGATGAAAGCCTGATATGAATTTTTGAGAACTGAGTCCAGAGGTATAAGATATCTGCATAAAGTTCAAAATATTAAAGAGAAACATCATCTTTTCTGCAGCAAGCTAGCAGCTTGGTAAAATGCATTTGGTGTATTTGTCTGGTTTTATTTTCCCCTGTTTTTCTGATACGATTTTTACATTGAAATATGCATACAAAATCCCCCTTATGTTTGATGTTATTTCTGGAGCGTTCTTCCTTGAAGTAAATGGGAACACACCACCTTGCATGGCTTTGTCTTTATGCACCACGTGCACTAAAACCCCGAAGCATGGGGTTGATTTTTAGGAGGAACCTTTTATCTGGAAAAAATAGATAAAAATATAAGCAGCAGTGCCAGCCTGTACAGAGAGCCATCTCGCCTGAAGTGTTATGGACAGCTGTAGCATTTTAGCATAATTTTCATGGCAAATGCTTTATCCATTTAGAGCACATGAAGTGGGTAGGCAGCAATGGCAACTGGCCAGGAAAACAGAGCTTAATACCCTTACTTGTGTGAGAAGCAAAAAAAGATGATGCAAGGGTCCCTGACATTATACTAGGACACTGCTGTGGTGCTCTACTAAAGGGAAGAGTGCCATCTTCTGAAGCAACATGTAAATCACAGCTGAACAGCAGATGTTTGGAAAATACTGGAAGAACTAAAGGTCTTTCCCTTAGGGACAAATCCTTTTTGAGCAGCCAGGCTGTGAACTGCAGGTGCTGGAAGGAAAGAATCCTTTCATCAGACCACAAACTGAGTGAAAACTATTAGGTTGTGCTTTAGCTTCTGTGCCACTTCTCTGTGGAGCACAATACCTGGTAGATACAAAGTTATCCCCACAAATTCTGTGTATTTACGTCCTGTTAGCACCATGGATATTAGGTGTGTTATAGTCAAGGTGTGGTACCCTGTTGACTTAAAGTAAAGTTGCACCAGCTTTGTTGTGTCCAAGGGCTTCCACATCCATTGGCATGGACTCCTCTTGGTGGAGTAGAAATACTACTAGTAACATAAGAAATGGTGTGTTTGGAGCTGTGTATTCACCAGAGATGAATCAAGAAATCCAAAGCAATGTCTCCTATTAAAAAAATGTAGACAAACCAAAGAAACCATGCAATAACAAGAAAAATGGTGGTGAATGAATTGGTTTAACATTCTTTTCACTTAATAGACTTATAAATATAGACTCTTTTAAAATAATTTTATACATTTAGTCTGGTCAGTGCAGCTTTCCTGATTCAGATGCATTTTCTCTTTAGAAAATTATCTGCGTATTAGTAGAGAAGCTGCACTGAGTTCAGGCAGGGTGCTGAGTGGTGGATGCACTGGCACTGCGACTTTTTATAGTCAAATTGAAAATAGAAATTGTCCTCAAACAGAGCCAAATTCCCCCTCTCTCCCCCTCTCTGTCCCCCCCCCAAAAGAAAAAAGAAAAAAAGAAAAAGAAAAGGTAAGCAGATGGGATGCCTGGAATCTAATGAACTCTCTGCCTTCTGCCTCACTGGCTAGTATAAGCATGCAGGACAGTATTGACTGTGGGTATGTAGGAGCTGCCCTCTAGTGCTGCTACAGTAAATTGGTGAAAATTTCAGGAAAGCTAATTGGAGTGAGGGCAGCAAAGCTGGAAACAGAAATAAATATAGCTTTGTGATTAACTTGATCCTTGCCACTAATACCAGTTTTCCATGTGGTGACTTAGGGGAAATCCTCTATTTAATAAACTCTTAAAACTCTTTAATTTTTCACAAGTCACTAACGGCAAAGGTCTGCATTCCTTGTAATTCTACTAAATGTAAAGCAAGTGAGCCCACCTTGTGCATGGACACACCTGAGTGTTGCCAGCTGCTCAAAGTACATATAGGCAAGCAAAGATAGAGGGCACTGGCTAAACAATTATTAACCCTTTCTCATCCCATCGCCGGAACCTGTAGAAATCTCTCTCTCTCTCCTGTGACAGCCACTAGCACCAGGTTTTTATTTTCCAGAAGTAACCATTACAGTTCTTGTGAAGGTTTAGAAAGAGCAGAGGGTACAGTGAAAATTAAGTAGGGGTTGAAGTTCTGATGCAGCTGTCTGAGAAATATGAGTGGGTTTTTCATCGTAATCCTGGGATGTTACTGGTTTCAAACCATTTGGTTCTTATTGCATGGGATGTATTTGCTCCTGGCTGCCTCAGCATCATGCATTCAATCCCTTTTCTCCAGAGTTCTGAAGAGCTGCAGCTGTCAGTCCCTCACATCAAGCAGATCATTGGGATTTTAAGGGACTTCATACACTCTCCTGAGCACAGAGTGATGGCCTCCACTATATCCAAGCTGAAAATGGATTTGGACTTTGACAGCACTTCCATCAACCAGATTCACCTGGTTCTGTTTGGCTTTCAGGATGCAGTAAGTCCTATGTTCATTACAGAACCTAGAAACAGAGGGAAGAGAAAATTCCCCATCTGA